TCAAAAACAATGAACAGTTTACCAAATAAATCCCACATTTAAATGTTCCATTATACCCGAAGTACAAGACTGAACATTTATGTCAACCTACACTTTAAACTTATTTATGAAATAGTACTTCCCAAAGTTTCCATAATATTACATTACAATAGATTGTCTCCAATTGTAAAAGCAAACTATCAGTACTTGATTTTTATACTTAAGTAAAATTTGAAGTAAGTCCATTTTATCTTATCTTTTTTTCTTGTCCTATAATATACTCAGAACATTAGTGTCTTAGTCTTCTCCTGCTCTCTTTTTTTAAAGTTTATTTAATTTGAGAAAGAGAGAATCAGCAGGGTATGGGCAGAGGGAGAAAGAGGGAGAATCCCAAGTTGGCTCTTCACGGTCAGCACAGGGCCTGACTCAGGGCTCAAACCCACGAACCATGACCTGAGATGAAATCAAGAGTTGGACACAACCAACTGAGCCACCCATGCACCCTTCTTCTTCCTCTCAATTTAGAATATTTCTAAGTCTGTTCTTTTGAAAATACCCTTAAAGAATCTATGCATTTGCATACATTTCAAATGTCTACACAATTTAAAATGCAACGTCAACTAATAACACACCTGTATCATTTAAAAGGGCTTTTGTGTATGTATGTATTTCAACTAAAAAAAAAATACCATTTCATTTCAGGTTTGATTGTTACAAACTAGTATGTTTTTCACAGGACTAAAGAACACCTAAAAATTAGCCCAGAAAATGTTCACATTTCACTAAAAGTTTTAAGTAAATACCCCAGGGGAAAAAAATGTCTGTGATCATTAACTCTAAAAACATTGTATTCACCACACAATTTTCAACGTTTATAAAGGAAATCTTCAACAATCTGCAAGGTAGCAAAATTTCCTGGTGGAGAGATGGTCTGTAAAACAGTAACTGAATTCCGCGCATACAAACAACACGAAACAGAGAAGTAGAAACTTCCCTTATTCCAAGCACTCACACATTTGCATTGTATGCTCCTCTTGTCATTCTACTTTCTAACTGCCGCATTCCCACAAAAAAGACATCACAGCTCTCTTGTTTAACCAAGCCCCACTGACTAGTGTCCTGACTGGACAATGCCAGGCAGCAAGTCTGGCAGCCTGAGTAACTACAGAGCAATCCTAAAGGAGCTGCCCTTAGTCTACTGGTGCCAGAACCTCTTCTGCTGAGAGGCTCCTCTGCAAAGGGCCGTGGCTAGCTGACTTTACAGACCTATATGGCTTCCACAGAATGCAATGCTGGCTGAAGTTTTCAGATAACACACTCATCTTCATTTTCATGAAAGGAAAAGGCACAAGATACCTCCTGAATGGCTTTCACAGCTTTCTACTTCTCTCCATTCACCCTAACTACCACACAGGTGCAGGCCCCAATCATCCCTAGTCTGGATTACTCCTCCGGATAAGACTTCTGTACCTCTGGTAATACCCCACGAACATAAAAATGCCACATTCATACACATACACACACACAGGCTCCTCTCAACATCATCTAATCTTTCACGTTAAAGAAAATCATGTCGCTATGTATTCAAAGTTCTTCAATAGTTCCTGAGTGAACTCAAGATAAAAGTCCATTACCTACAGAGCCCTGCATCACCAACTGCTCTCACCATCTAACCCTCATCTCTAGCAAATTGCCCTTCACAATCTACCAGTCAACTCCAATGAACTTTTAGTTCCTCAAATGTGGAGTGCTCTCTCGCACATCCAGGATCTCACCCGTGCTATTCCCTCCACCTGAAAGAAACTCTTCTATTTCCATTCTCTCCTATCCTTCCCGCAGGCCTAGGCTGGTGTCATTTCTTCCAGGCTACCTTCATCTACCTCCACCTCAACTAGGGTAAGTGTCCTGACATTCCATCCTGTACCAATCCTAACACACTTTATTCTGTCTCTTTACTTCTGCTCCCAGAGGATGGGGCTGGTGCCCCCTTGTTTACCATTATACCAGAGGCACTCAATTACTTGTTGAATATATCCAAGGTTACTTAATGAACATAGTATGAATGTGGCCCATACAATAATACACGTTAGAGTCGGTCATGATAAAACTATGCAGCAATATCATTATACTTTGGTATAAAATGCCAACTACACAGGTACCTACAAACTCCTTTAGAAAAGATTAAAATGTTATACATTAAAAAAGAACACTTTTCAACATAAAAATATTAGTTTTGTGCTCACAACTCCTATCAGGCAAACTGCAGTTCCTTTATAAAGGGTCAGACTGAAAGTATCAAAAAAGCAGGCCTGGCTGATTGCTTATAGGTCAAGTATGATACCAGTTTAACTATTCCTCCTTGCAATGATCAAACTTTCTTGGCATTATTCAGAACTCTGCTGCCTAAAACTAAAAAGGTATTCCATTTCCTTAGTTTCTATGTCTTGATATAAGTCCTTTGATAAGGGTGCTACTCATGATAATGGTCCCAAGGACATAAACTTGTTGCCAGGAAACAAGCCTCTCTCTGATACATCCTGGGCATTAGTTGCCATTGGCAGCTAGTTTCTTTGAGCCACATGTCTTCTTATGAGTTACAATCAGAGGCTTGTGACACCAGATTTTTCCAGAGCAACAGACTGATGTCATAAACGTGATGGTACTCAGCACTCTGAAGAGCTCAGCAGCACCACCCTACACTCCCTGCATACAAGGGGCAAGTTCTCCACCTCTCAAAGCCCCAATTCTTCATCTATAGCAAGATAATGGCAAGATAATAACCTCCTAAGACTCTGTGGGAATTAGATTATCCATGAAAGCACTTAGCCAACAACCCAATTATTAGGAAGACTATAAAACCTAAAATATTTTCACTTCTTCAAAACTTTTGCTAATACCATAACTTATTTTTGACTAACGTCTTTCCACCAGGTATTTTTAATAAAGGCAAAAAAGAGGACAAATGAGAATCTATTTCTTTGTCCCAACCTTTGAATTTTACAAATTCCACAAAAGTCTACATTCAGATCCACTTTCTAATCTGTCTTTGCACTCCAAAAAATCCCAGACTTAATCTGCAAGGGATAGCAAAAATAAAATACTTAAATACATTATTTCTGGTCTCAAAATGTTCTCACCAGAAATAATCATTTCCTTACTGCCTCTATGTACTATGAAATATACTAGATCTTTGGAAAATAAAGAAAGGGATCAAGCACAAAAATCCTTCCAAGTCTTCCAATTCCCCTACAATCAGAGTCATAAGGTAGGGTGGAGGCACCTGTTAGGTAAGAGGGCGAGTAATCTATGAAACTCCAAATGTTAACAAGGAGAATTTAAAATGTAACCATAGCTGAAAAAGTTAATTTCCCACCTCATCGTTTTTCGCCCTAATAGGATGGTCAAGTAATAACGCAGGCTGGCCAATGTGAATATTTTTACCATTTAAAAAAAAAAAAAAAAAAGGAGAGAATAATTTGAGCCAACTGGGCAAACTGGCTCTCACTTTCCCAAGCCAGGCTGACTTGAGTTGGGTGGTTTTGGGTTTTGTCTTTTATTTTTTGGACAAGGAAATTTTACACATCTCCTGAAATGTGTTTTAAATAAAGATGAGACCTTCACATTCTTATAACTTTACCCCAGCCTGGGCTCTGGCCTCGGTTTTTAAAGATGGGTGACGTGTGAACAGCTTCCTAAAAGCAAATAGGGCACTGGGATATAATTTAGGAAGTGATGATGCAAGTCTCTGGGGGACAAGGAGGGAGGGGGAGGTGAAAAAGTCAGAGGAAATACCCTCCTGGTGCCTGGGCACCAACTCATACCAAGGCAGGGAGGGAGGGCTGGCCTCCACATGCCAAGGGAAGGGGGCACCCCAGCTCCACCCGGAGGTGCCAACACCGCCCCCTCATCCCTCCCCGCTGCCCTGCCCCCCCCCCCACCCATGGCCCGGGCGGCCCCTGTTGGCCCAAACCTCGGGCATTAGAGTCCCAGAGGGTGGCAGTGCACCCGGGCCAGGGCCTTCTCTGCCCACCTCCAGCTCCCCACCCAGCGCCCCTCCCCGAGACGCGGCCCCTGCCCCCTCCCTGTAGGCCCGGCTACGGCCCAGCCCCCAGGGTTCCGGCCTCCCCCGGCCCCGAGGCCTGCGGGGCAGCCCCCGCGTCCGCGCCCCCGGCCCCCGCCCCCACCCGGCCGGGCACTTACCCCCAGAAGCCGCAGGGACAGCGAGGCGGCAGGCTGGGCGCTTTGCTGCGCTCGCTCCCGGCGTCTCCCATGGTGCTCGGCGGCGGCGGAGCTCGGCGGCGGCAGCGGTGGCGGCGGCTGGGCCTGGGCCCCGCTCGAAGGAGGCGGCGGCGGCTACGGCGGCGGCGTCGGGGGGCTCGGGGCGGGGGGAGGGGGAGGGAGCGGGCGCGCGGGCGGGCGCGAGTCCGGGGCTCGGAGCCGGGATTCCAGGCCGGTCAGCTGGAGGCGGGCCGCACCACTCGGCCTGCGGAGATGGGGGGGGCCGGGGGAGGCGCGGAGAGGAGAGGGAGGGTAGCTGAGGAGGAGGGGCGTGCGGGTGAACCGAGGACCGCGAGGGAGGAGGGAAGACCCGATGCCCTCGGCAGCTCCCACCGCCGCTCCCAGCCAGATCGATGTCCCGCGCGGCGGCGTTGGGAAGGACCTGAGGCCCCCGCCGGCTCTGGCGTAGCAGCGGCCGCTGTGAAGCCCCGGGCCCCACTCGCTCCGTCACGCTCCCCTCCCCCGAAGGCTGCGCTGACCGGACAATGGCCGCTCCGCCCCCTCCCCTCCTCACACACCCCTCCCAAGGAGTCACAATGGTCTCGCCCGGGGGAGCCGCCGCCAAAGCCCAGCAGCTGATCAGCTGGGATCCGGGCGTGCCACTTTGTTCAGCGCCTCAAAGGAAGAGTCCGGGGCTGTGGGCAAAGCCGAGAGCGTTAGGCTATCACCCGGCGACGGGCCTCTGAGGTTTTCATATTCTTGGAACTTTTAAAATCTGAGGCAAACTTACCTTCTCCCGGTCTGAAGAAGGGGAGCAGGCTTCTGAGTACCCTGGGGCACGTTGCCTCCCCCCCAACACGAATGGTACGCCCCGGGCGGGAGGGGGAGGAGCAGATTAGTTGTTTAGGGTAAGTCGGGCCAGTCCCAGAGCGGCGGACGAGTGCTACGCATGCGCCCAGAGACCCCGTAACCGGGTACTGGGAGGGGCCAGGAGGCAGTGCTTCCAAATCCGGAAGTGGGTCTCGCTCTTCCCGGGGTTGTGGGGGTCTTTAGCCCCCGGGAGGTCTACCATCCGGCTCCTCCTCCCTGCTCTGGACGTTGCCAGGGACCATTTCTCCACTGACTGCAAATCCCCTAGAAATCCGTTCCCAGTGCCCCCGCACCCGACCCATTCTTCCAGTTCCACCCGGAGAACTGGTCTCTCCTTGGCAGTAATGAACTTAAGTGTCCCTCCCCTCTCCTGCCCCAGGAAGGGCACGGGGGGGGGGGTGCAGGAGGGTAGTGTCATAGTCGAATTCCTTGCTCCTCCTACCCCCTCAGTGCCCCCAGCCTCAGAGACACAAGTTCACTCTCTATACCCAGGCTAAAAGAACCTCTTTTTATAGAGTGGACATGTTTGGTTTGGGGAGGGGAGCTATGGCCGAATCACTGATGAAAATTCATGTAAGCAAAGAAGTTCGAGGCACCAAAAAATAGCCTTTAACGCTTCTTGTCTTTGATCTTGAACTCATTCTGAGCTCCAGCCAATCGTGAGCAGAAGGCGATTGTTGATGACAAATTTCAAGGCGGAGGAAACTTCCACCGTATCTACTGGAGAGGTGACCGCCACAGCTGAGACCCTTGTTGGCGGACTTCTAAAATCACTGCTACTTCAGGAAGAGCTTCCTGGCTCTTAGAAAAAGCGGCTGTGTACCCCGACTCGGCAAGAATACGAGACCCTCAGAGAGTATTACTTGGATTAATTTTATTGTCAAATGTTATTTATTTCTATACCATTATGTCTGTGCATGCTCTGTGGACTTGTTAACATTTAGGTCGCTTCTTTTGGCCTCTAAAGAGCAAGGACCACATTTAGCTTAGCATCTTCTTAAAGATGCCGTTGATGATAAAGACAAATGATTGCAAAAGTCATTTACAACCAATGCACCTCCAAATGCGAGTGCTGATTTTCGTACTATTTAGTTTTGACTTTGTGGATTTTCACAAACCTTCAATAAGTAGTTCTGTCAAAAGTCCATAAAATGGATGAGGCCATACAGCACACCTAGCTTTCCTTGGACTCACATTGCCCTTAAGTCTTCACTTAAACTGACATAAAATTGCCACATTCTTGAAAGACTTAACAGCATTTGAGTTTAACAGACCAAGATTACATGGGACTCTCTCTCTATTGGCATCTTGATGATCTTATTTATATATGGAAAAGGAAACCCTAAAACCAAAAGGAAAATTTAATAAAAACTGTGATTGTCATCTTACAAACTGGCTTGCCTACCTGTCTCTTTGCCAGTTATTCATTTTAACAAGCCTTGGCTAAGTACCCAAGATGTGCACAAAATTTTCTAAACCCTTGTCCCTCCAGTTCCCCTCTGCCCCACTGGTCTTCTTCTGTCTTGCCCAGGACACTACACTGCCCATTCAGGCATATGTTATCTCTTCAATACCTTGCATACACTGACAAGGCAGAATCAGTCCCTCCTTCTTCTGCCCACATAATCTCCATTATAGGACCAAGAAATATACATGTTTGTCTCCTATCACAAAACCTAACTCCAAAAGGTTTGGCTTGTAGAAGTAGCTGCTTCTGTACTCTCAATCCAGTGGGGATACAAGATGCTCAGAAGGTTATCACCTAGGTTAATTTTATTAGCAAATGTTATTTCTATAATGCCATTCTTTTTGTCTATTATCTGTAGACTTCTAGGATCCACAAATCACTATGGGATTGAAGCAAACTCAATCCATGTTTACTGAATGGAAGAGCTAATTTAATAAGAAGCCACTCTTAGTCAAGCCTCTGGTATCTGCAAAGAACAGAAACCTGACACTTCATGCAAAAATTAATTAATTGATTGATTGATTAATAGGGACACCTGGGTGGCTCAGCTGGTTGAGCTTCCGATTCTCGATTTTAGCTCAGGTCATGATCTCATGGTTTGTGGGTTTGAACCTGCTTGGGATCCCCTCTCTCCATCTCTTGCTCATGCTCTCTCTCTTTCTCTCTTCAAAATCAACTGTTAAGAAATTGATGAAATAATAATAATTTATTGAAGGAAATAATCTTAAAGAACTCAAGGGCACAAAGAGCAAATAGATCTCATGAAGGACTGCAAGAGGGATCTAAAATACTAACAGGAGCCAAATAGCTAGTTTCTCATTATCTCTTTTCCTCTGGTCACATGTTCTTCCATCTCTCACTCTACAGAGCTGTTCCGTTCTTCTCTGTAGAACTGTTTGCACTGCTTCTCTGGGAATACAATGGAACATGACTGTCCAAGCTCACCTACCCTCACCTCGAGAACCGACAGAAATTAATCAGTTATCTATGAATCCCAGTTCTCAAGGGAAAGAACCTTATTGGTCAAACTTACATCAGATTGTCTATTCTTGATAGGGTTACTTTGAGCCAGTAAAGGCTCTTTGTTTTGTAATGCAAACATGACTGTCAGAGGTTCATCCTTGTAGTCTGTGGTTCTCAAAGAAAGTCAGTTATGTTCTTGGCAAAAATTCCAAAAGGTATCTACCACAGACCAAAAAAGGAGTAAATTACAGCCTGAAATCAAAAAGCATAAAGAACAGTGGACAAGGGGCACCTGGGTGGCTCAATCAGTTAAGCATCCGACTTGGGCTCAGGTCATAATCTCACAATTCCTGGGTTCGAGCCCCGCCAGGCTCTGTGCTGACAGCCAGCTCAGAGCCTGGAGCCTGTTTCAGATTCTGTGTCTCCCTCTCTCTCTGACCCTCTCCTGCTCTCTCTCTCTCTCTCAGAAATAAATAAAACATAAAAAAAAAAAAAAAAAAACCAG